CTGAAGAGAGACCCCGAGCGAATGATCCGCTCTACGGCAACTTCACAGTCCCGAGACATGATCCAGCTTCTGCGCAACAACATCAAACAATTGAGCAACCGTCTTAGCACTCACTACAGATCTTACGATGATATCACAGTGCCCGTGGTTCGTTTCTTGCAGCTTTTGGACCTTGGCGTATTCCTGGCCTCCAGCCAACCGGAAGAGTCCAGCGACGTTCCTGATATTCAGTCTCTGAGCGAGCGAACACCCTTCTTGGGAGGTATCCACCACCCTGTCTTTGCTCAAAATGACCAGAAGGCTCCAGGCACCCTGAAGAATGCAAACGAAATGCGCCTTCAAGAACTGTCGGCCCTTTGGGCCGCCAAGGATGCGGATTCAACAATCCTGGATACAAAGGCTGGACGAGAGATCATTCGCCGGGTCTTTGCTGATTTCCATCAACTGTGGAAGACCAAGCTCGAGGAAGATCGGGAACAGGAAGCTGAAAAGGGAGAACTATACCGCTTCAAGGGGTCCTGGGAAGAGGAAGAAGAAGTCAACGAAGCCGAGCTACACGCACTCTTCCCTACCTTCGATGAAGAGCCCATTCAAGGCACAGAAACGACCGATGTCGCTGCCCGTATTGACCCCAAGAGCATCGCTCTTCGACTTGCCTCGCTGCATGCAAACATTGTCTCAAATGAGCACAGTGGAACTGCTTTGAATACTTTTGTAAAGCAATCAGCCCATCTTCTAGGCTCGATCTGGTCTGACAATGAGGCATCATTCTCGCCGATGTCGCCCCAGAACCATCTTCCTGCAGTCCTTCTGCTTCTCGACGATGCCATAGGTGAGGGAACCAACACTCACAAGAAGAACTACAACTTCTACACTGATTCAAATCTTGAAGAGGCAAGGAAGCTGGTCGCTCTCGCAATCTCCGTTCAAGCCCGCTTCGCCCAAATCCAAACCGCCTGGCCCGAACATGTTGTTCTCGCTGATACCATTCAATGCTGCGTGGAAATCCTTCAGTTCAAACACACTGAACCGGTTGCCAAGTTTATGACCAAGGTCGAGAAGCTTCATTCATTCGTGCATGAGTGGCAGACCGTGGCCAGCAGAGAATACTCAGCTGTTACTGTCTACGATGAGATTACAAGCACTCTCATTAGCTGGCGCCGTCTTGAGCTATCAACCTGGGCCAAGCTCTTGGATCTCGAGAAAGAACGATGCGAGGACGAGGTGAGTGCTTGGTGGTTTATCGCCTATGAAGCACTGATTGGTGCTCCCATCATGATGGTCGAGGCAGGCGAACAAGACATGTCCGAACACACTCAAAACTTGGTTTTGACTCTGGAGCAATTCTTCAAGTCTACAACTACGGGCCAGTTTGCTCGCCGTCTACAGCTTGTTGCCAACTTCAAAGCACTGCTTCAAGTTTTCAGCACAGATTATCCCTCCCTCAAGAAGCTTGTCTCTGCTTTGGACAACTTCCTCCACCACTACGGACCCTTCCAGCCTGGTGTGGACAAGTATCTGGCGGAGAAGCGGTCCGCTCTCGAGAAGGATATCAAGGAGCAGATTCAACTTGCGAGCTGGAAAGATGTTAACATTGTGGCTTTGAGGGAAAGCGCCAGAAGGTCCCATGTCAAGCTATTCAAGCTGGTTCGAAAGTACCGCGCGGCCCTTGGCCAACCAGTTCAATCAATCCTTGAAGCAGGTCTTCCGGAAAGCACCGAGGAAATCACTTCGATGTCTCAGACAGAGCCAGTTCGCCCGACTGCCACGTTCCCTGAGGCAATGGCCATTTGCCAAAATGACAAGAGCCTGTGGTCTGCTCGAGCGCTCAGATTCCAGAAGCCGGATGGAACAGCCAACAACATGATGAACCTCTATTCGTCAATTCCAGCCGAGTTCGACATTGCAAAGGACCTCAACAGCTTCATCGTCTCGGTGATTGAAAGCATGAATGAGTACAAGTCCAAGACACCAAAGGTCCTGAATGAAGACAACAAGGAGGATGTCCAGCACCTCAAGTCCCAGAAACGCCGTCTCTATGCCGAGACCCTCAAGCAGCTATATGAGATGGGCGTGAAACGCAATGCTGGATCGAGCATTATCGAAACTCAAGAAACAGTTCCGCAGGTTCTCGCCACCAGTGCCGCCTTTGAGGCTGGCGCTGCAACCTCAACTGCAGCCCAGAGCGCCGACTGGTACTTCCACAGACTTTTGGATCTTCTGCCCAAGGCACGCCTGGCTGCTCGCAACTATTCTGAGGAGCTAAGCAATGTCGAGGTTCACAGAAGCATGGGGTCTATTGAGCATCTTATCTTCACTGTCCGTCGCCAGAGAGGTGTCATTTCGCCTGCCCTCACAGGCTTGGGCAAATTGAAGTCTACGCTTGACAAGGTGCAGAACCTTTGGACAGCGGCTTCAAACTCTCTGTCACAAGACCGTGCTTCTGCGTCGGAAGAGCGAACCAACTTGGCCAGAATTGTGGCCTGGCTGGCTCCTATCCTTGGACTGGCCGTAACAATCATTGGAGTGCATTCCAAGTTCTCAGGAATTGATGCATCTAAGATCATGGAACAGCTCCGCGCCAAAAAGGCATCCTTTGATAGCCTACGCAAGTCGCACAAAGCCCTTCCCATCCTTCCGTCCCGCATTGTGTCCAACGGGAACTACGAGATCGCGCAACAGGCACAATCATTGCTCGATGAACTGGCTGCTGACCTGAAGCAATGGAGCCAAGCTCGTCCTGATCTGTCCTTCGCGCTGGATCAAATCACACCTTGGGTCAACACAAAGATCGCTGTTCTCCCTGAGGTAGACGATGAGAACAGCCTATCCATTCAAGCCTTTGATAGTAGTCTCCTGACGGCCATTGACAAAATGCTTATTGGCCTCCAGAAGCTCAAGGATGTGCCTTCTGCCATTACGTTTGATGGCTTGTTGTCCAGAAGTGATGAGTTCTTCTCTCGCGGCATTAAGGCTGTCCATCTCACCGAGATCACCGCCGCATTAGAGAGTGTCCTCGATCAATTACACTGCCTCCAAGACCACTCCTCTGGCGGCCTCTCCATTGCTGCCGCACTGATCACCAGTATCCTGCCTATCGCCAACAGATACTACCAAATCTGCCGCGATCTGGCTGATCGGTTCATCGCTGTGCATCGCGAGATCTGTAAGACATCTTACATTCTGACCAAGACCTTCAAACAGGTCGCCTCCGAAGGCTTCTGCAGTCCCGCCGAAGCATCCCAAGATCAAGGCAAGGAAGGCCAGATGGAAAGTGGCACGGGTCTTGGTGAAGGCGAAGGCGCGGAAGACATCAGCAAAGATGTTGGCGATGATGAAGATCTAACTGAGTTGGCGCAGCAAGAGAATAAGAAAGAGGACGGTGATGATGAAATGGATGATTCCAAGGACGCTGTCAACATGGATCAGGAAGAGTTGGAAGGCGATGCCGAGGATCGCAAGGACGAAGAAGAGGAGAAGGATGACAGTGGCGACGAAGGAGATGACGATATCGACGAAGAGACCGGAAGTGTTGATGACCTTGACCCAGGTGCTGTCGATGAGAAGCTCTGGGATGGTGGTAATGATGAGCAGCAGAAGGATACTGAGAATGAAGAAGGAAAGGGCCAATCGGAGGCCGAACAACAAGCTGCTGCCCAGGAAGAGAAGAAGGAGGACAAGGATGGTGAAAAGGGCGAAGAAAAGCAAAAGGAAGGAGAGGATGAGGAAGAGGAAGAGACAGAAGATGAAGAGGCCCCAGAAGACGAGGGCGAGGCAGTTGGCCGTGAGGAAATGGACGTCACCGACCCTCAAGCGAAGGAAGAAGAAACACTCGAACTCCCTGAGGAAATGCAACTCGATGATGGTGAAGGCAAGGACGACAATGGTGAGGATGACGATGAGATGGATGATCTTGACGATGATTTTGGTCCTGCTCCCGAAGAAGAAGGGAAGGTCGAAGATGCCGATGATCATGCCGGCGAAGAAGATGCCGAGGCAGCCCCAGAGGACCAAGAGCCAGGCGCGGAAGACGAAGAAATGGCCGATGATGCCGAGGAAACCAACGAAGGCGAAGCCGGAGACGAGGAGCAAGAAGAAGCTGGTGGAGAAGATTCCGAGGAGCCTGAGCAAGACGACTTCCTCGCACAGCGTGATGAGAATGATGCCGCAGGTGACAACGTCGCTCCTAGTGAAGCTGTCACTGGCGGTCTCGGAGCCGAACAAGACCAAAATGAAGAAAAGGGTGCCTCGGGTGACGCTCAACAGGAGAGCGGCTCGACTGATCCCAATGCCAATGTCGACCAACAGACAGGTGCTGCCAAGGATAGCGAGGAGAGCCAGCCCAGCCGAGACGCCGCTGGTGGCGAAGATCACGGGCCGGATGAACCTCAGATGCAGGCATTCAAGAAGCTCGGTGATATTCTCGAGCAATGGCATCGACGACAAAAGGAGATCCTCAATCCGTCCCAAGAGGAGGAGGAATCCCAGGCCATCCCCGAAGACACCGATATGGCCGACGCAGACTTCGAGCACCTAAAGGATGACGACGATGCTGCAGACACCCAGGCCCTTGGACAAGCAAACGACGATCAAACGCAAGCCCTCGATCAAAGCAAAGGTGTGGAGTCCGAAATCAAGCCTGGTGAGAACGATGTTCTCCCCGACGTGTCAGACGAGCAGCAAGATGCCGTGGACAACCAGCTTGAGGATGAGATGCAAATCGATCGTGAGACCGTTCCCGCCGATGGCGAGTCCGCCGGTGCCTTCATTCCTAGCGGTCAATCATCCCGCGATCGCGCAGACGGTGCACAGGGTACCGAAGAAATAGACGAGGAGCTCGATGAAGTCGACTCGCAACTCGCAGCCATCCACCTCTCCTCTTCGCTCCCCCCTTGACTCCACAAGACGAAGCCCGCCGCCTCTGGTCGCACTACGAGTCCGCTACCAATGATCTCTCCCTCTCGCTGACCGAACAACTTCGCCTCATCCTCGCCCCCACAATGGCCACCAAGCTCCGTGGTGACTTCCGCACCGGAAAGCGGCTGAACATCAAGCGTATCATTCCATACATCGCATCCCAGTACAAGCGCGACAAGATCTGGATGCGCCGCTCTATCCCCTCAAAGCGCAACTACCAGATCATGCTGGCCGTCGATGACAGCAAGTCCATGCTGGAAAGCGGCAGTGGCCAGCTCGCCTTCGAGACCCTCGCCCTGGTCGCGAAGAGTCTGAGCATGCTGGAAGCCGGTGACCTGTGCGTCCTTGGCTTTGGTAACGAAGACCATGTTCGCGTCGCCCACGAGTTCGGAAAGCCCTTCTCCTCTGAGGCCGGCTCTCAGGTCTTCCAGCACTTCAGCTACCAGCAAACTGGCACCAACGTGCGCAAGCTGATCGCCGATTCTATTGCTCTTTTCCGCGAGGCTCGCTGGAAGCGCTCGCCTGGATCTGGCTCTGCTGACCTCTGGCAGCTTCAGTTGATTATCTCTGATGGTATTTGTGAAGATCATGATACTATTCGCCGTCTTGTAAGACAGGCGCTCGAGGAGCGCATCATGGTTGTCTTTATTATCGTCGATGCTGTTAAGGGTAGCTCTATCCTTGACCTCTCGCAGGCTAGCTTCGAAGCCGATCCTAGCTCTGGTGGTGAGATGAAGCTCAAGATGAAGCGTTACCTGGAAGACTTCCCCTTCCCTTACTACCTCGTTGTTCGTGATGTGAGGGAGTTGCCCTCTGTCTTGGCTACTGCACTCAAGCAGTGGTTCGCTGAAGTTGTGGATGTGTCGTCTTGATACTCCAAAAATAAAAAGGAGTTGGAATCGTCTATTTGGAGTTCTTTTGTTACATTTTACGGCGTTTGGGATTGGCTTTTTGTACATAATAGATTTTATAGATGTGATACATATCAGTCGAATGTACATTTTTAGTCATGTCATTTCCTATAAAATATTATGGTATCTCAATGCTAATACGCTTGACAAAAATCCCCCCAGAGTAGCCTGACTTAGGCTAAAACTACCACCCGTACTTGGATCCAGCTTCCTTCTTGTTTCTCCGACCCGTTGCAAAGCTTTCCTCCAAGGCCTCCTTCTGCGAACTTGCAACATTGAGCAATTGCTGGAGGGTATGCTTGCCCGGCGCAATGGAGCGCACAGGATTGTGCTGTGCTCCGGCCAGCTCGCCTTCCGCCATGACCTTGTTCGACGCGTATTCCTCGTCTGTGTTGAAGGTACGCACTTGTGACTGCGACGAGGTAATATTGGCATTCCGACCGAAGAGTTGGCGTCTTTCGGATTTGGATAAATTCAGATCGTTGGCAATGCTGTCCAGGGATGATGTAGGATTGGTTGATACTGCTGCTGGGTATTCGCTGGCAATCTGTGTAGGCTCGGCTAGTACTGGACCAGCTGCTGGTTCTTCTTCGCCTTCGGCGTTGTACACCAGCGGCTGGTAGGTTGCTGATGGTCCAGGTGCTGGGTCTGGCTGAGAAGTAGTTTCTGATGATAAAGAGAAGAGGCTGACTTTGGGTTTGGGTGGTGCGGGCGCAGGCGCAGGTACAGGCGCAGGGGCTTGCTGTGCAGGTTGAGCAAGCTTCGGCGCGGCTGAGGGGGAAGGCGTTGGTTGCTCAGCAATCTTGGTGGTCTTTTTCTTCTTCTGGGGTCGTCCGACAGATAACGGTCTAAACATCATCGGGTTTCCTTGCAACTTAACCTCCACTGAATTTTTTATTGTCTCCCCTGGTGCATCTGATGCAGTGTCGGTTTTTGAGCTGCCAGGTGCAGCTGTCTCGGCATCTCCCTCTAGATTTTCAACTGCGTAATCATTTCTCATCTCCGCATCAGCTGAGCGATCGAATCCAGGGCCTGCTCCTGTCTTGAGACTGAATACTTTTCGTGCTGTCGCCACTGGTGCTTTCTTTTCGGCTGTTCGTTTCGGCGCTGGAAGGAAAGAGTTGAATCCTGCAAGACCTCCTCCGCCTAACCGAGCCTTTTTGCGCGGACCATCTTCGGAATCTTCGCTGGATGGGTGTTCTGGTTTGATTTCTGGAAGCGCCATGCGGATCTTGCGTGGGTTTCTGGGATCGATCTGAAAGCCCATTTTGGACTCGAACTTCTTTGGCTTGGTGATCTTGGGTGCAGGTGTAGTATCTGGCTCGGCATCTGAGCCTTCAGAATCAGAGTAACCTACTAACACCATGATGTGAGAGTTCAGTTGTTGTTGTTTGTTTGGGATGTTAGAGATTGGAGTTGATAAGTGAATTGTCTGACACCTGACTGCTCAGGCATCTGAATATTACATAAGCATATCTGAATCGAAGATCGAAAAAAAGACATATTACAGAGTGGACTGGGGGACGGGATGGAATGGGCCAGGAAAATGTCCGAAAACACCCTCAAACTCCAGATGTCATTCCTTACAGTGAAACAACAGGGATGATCGCATCACTAACGTCATCGGATCCGGGTTCTCCGCTTAGAGATTAATAGGATCATACATTAGGACACTGATTGGAACAATGAGGTGTTCATGTTCATGTTTATAGTTCATACTTCATAGAAACTCGAATTGAATTAGGATATGATATCTAGTACTTTGGACTCTGTATAGTCCAGTGCCATATACCTCAGTCGCTCATATAGATAACCAATACAGGCGATTAAGGGGATAATTGAATAATAAGCCACCTACAATAATAAATTCAGATCAATAGATTCTAATAGAGATCAAATGAGCTAAAGAAACCAATCGATCAATGATATCCAATTAAATAGATGTCCAGTCAATATCAAAACAATATAAAATGTAAAGTGTTCAAGTCCATAAATGAAAGATCAATGCGTCATTCTGGCCGCTGCCCCTCCCCACTTAATCCGGACCTCCCATCCCAGCTTTCTCCCCCCCATCAAACCTGTCCCCAAATGGCCCCAAAGCCTCTCTAATCTTCTCTCCATGCCGAGTTTAGGAGGACTATTGAAGAAGAGGCGTACAAAGGATTCGCAAGATCTAGGGAAACCAGATTCTGAGAACCACGACGGTTCAGGCGCATCCATGCAAGCTTCGCACGCCTCGCCCCAGCATACGGGTACCGGTCACGAAAATGCCGCCAGTATCGATAACATTATAAATCAGCCAGAGCAGAAGCAAGAGCGTGTTACCAAGGGGAAATACTCCCAGGAGGACTTCGAGCTTCAGCGCACCTTGGGAACGGGCAGCTTTGGCCGTGTGCACCTGGTGCAGTCCAACCACAATCATCGCTTCTATGCAATGAAGGTATTGAAGAAGGCCCAGGTGGTCAAGATGAAGCAAATTGAGCATACAAACGATGAGCGCCGCATGTTAAACCGGGTTCGCCATCCATTCCTGATTACTTTGTGGGGAACTTGGCAGGATTCCCGAAACCTCTACATGGTCATGGACTTTGTAGAGGGAGGTGAATTGTTCAGTCTCCTGCGCAAGTCACAAGTGAGCGACCCCACCACTTCCTTCAGTCTCATGTCGGAAACAAAGAACTCATTTGTCATTAGCGATTCCCAAACCCGGTGGCCAAATTCTATGCTGCAGAGGTTACCCTAGCGTTGGAGTATCTGCACTCACATCAGATCATCTATCGTGATTTGAAGCCAGAGAATCTTCTGTTGGACCGTCATGGTCATCTGAAGATCACGGATTTTGGATTTGCCAAGGACGTGCCGGATATTACCTGGACACTTTGTGGTACTCCCGACTACTTGGCACCCGAAGTTGTCTCTTCCAAGGGATACAACAAATCAGTTGACTGGTAAGCTTACTATCAATGCTCTTCCAGAATCGTTCTAATTGTCTAAAGGTGGTCATTGGGTATTTTAATATTTGAAATGCTGTGTGGATTTACTCCCTTCTGGGACAGCGGATCTCCAGTCAAGATCTACGAGAATATCCTGCGGGGTAGAGTCAAGTATCCTCCATACTTGCACGCCGACGCGGTCGATCTGCTCTCTCAGCTGATCACAGCCGATCTCACCAAGCGCCTCGGCAACTTGCACGGTGGCCCGAGCGATGTCAAGAACCATGCCTGGTTCGCCGAGGTCACTTGGGACCGACTAGCTCGTAAGGATATTGATGCGCCATATATCCCACCCATTCGCGGTGGACAAGGCGATGCAAGCCAATACGACAAGTATCCAGAAGAGACAGAGCACTATGGCCAGGAGGGAGACGATGCGTATGTACTTCTTTCCACATATGCAAACCTGACTAACTCGTTCCAGATATGGTCACCTTTTCCCCGACTTCTAGGGTGCTTGTATGATTTTATGACGCGACGAAAAGTCTGGGGGAGGGCCGGAACTGATTGACCCCGGGAGGAGTCGTGAAAAACCAGGAGCCATTATATGAAAATCCATACTTTCTATATGCACATCATTTTTCTTAGCAATTTACAATCGAATTTTTGTGTTCTTTTATTCTTTCAATTGCCTGCTCGATGTATACAAATGGATTCGTCGTAAACCCTGTTCTATTCCCAATCTCTCCAACCACTGGGCACAAAAAGCCACGCCCATATTATACACGGGCTCCCAGGCCGCTTCTATCGTACAGTAGTTCATTTAGAGAGGTGTGTATCTCTTGCTTGTTTTCGTCCTTCGTCTTGCTTGCTTCCTTCTGATTTGGTGATGGGTCGAATTTAGCCTAGGATTCCGCTGCCGCCCTCGGGCATGCCAGTAGCCATGGAGGCAATGGCAGCAGCATCCTGACCACCGAGACGCTTAGTCTCCACACCGACACGGGCGATGTAGGTCTTGCTTGTGAGGTTCCACATGGCGATGTACTTCTCCATGCAGCTGGACAGGCAGGTGTTCTCCTTGGCCGAGAGCGAGGTACCGGGGGCGGGAACGCAAGCCTTGAAGCAGTGCTTGTTGATTTTCTGGGGTTGTTGTCAGTTTGTTGCCGGATTTGGATATCAAGGGTGGTGACGTACTCCGATCAGGGAGCGGGCGTTGGACATGGCGGCCTCCTGCTGGAGCTGGCGCATGACGGCTGCCTTGATCTCCTCGGAGGTCTGAATGGGGGCGGCAGAGCCGGAACCGAAAAGCGACGACATTATGAAAGAGTGAGTTTGGGTGGGAAAGGTTTAATGGAATGGGTGAATTGGATCGAATTGAAGAATAGTCGGCGGACTTCAGGATCTGAGGTGCAGGGTTGTGGCTGGTGTTCTCACTGCGCCACATTAGATGTGGACACCTTAGCACAACAAGCTGTATACTTCACCTCCTCGTCTCCGCGCCCCGGGAACTTTGCCTATTCACTCCTTCTTGTCGCCTTTCCTCGACAATTTTCACGGCCTCTTCTCCTTTTTGCTACTTGCTGGGTTTTCGGGTCCTGGCGACACCGTACCCTGTCCATCCAACCTCCAGTCTATCTTTCAAACACACTGGGCTCCCCTCCATTGAGCCCTAATACAATTTCACAATGCGTCTTCCGTCAATTTCCTCGCTTCTTTGCTTCGCGGGCCTGGTCGCTTTACCCGTGAATGCCTATGACGACCCAAATATCAAAAGCATTCCCGTATGTGTACAATGTTGACTCCGTTTCATGCCGAGGTACTGACTTTGGACGTCACTTAGCTTCGCACCCATAGCCTCGCTCCGGTATGATTCTTTTCTGAGCCCAGCTTGTCTGTCTGCAAATTCCGAAAAACAAGCTGTGCATAGCTCGCTCCCCGAGGAGAAATATTAGTATTAACCGCCATCAACAGCCATACCTCGATTCGGATTTCCAAAGCCGCTGGTTCGACTTCGGAGGAGATACAGTAGTCCGCGCTGACAAGTAAGATGTTCCAGATAATTAGGTGATATTTAGTGCACCAGTGCTGATTTTCGTCATTGTGTTCAGATATGTCCGCCTCACGGCTGACCGGCCATCACAGCAAGGATGGATCTCCTCCCGCGTGCCTCTGACCGCAACCAATTGGCAGGTAAATAAACGGTCCTCGCGAGATCATCGCATGCGCCAAAAGCTCACGTATATCCCCCGCTAGATTGAACTTGAGTTCGAGATCCACGGTTCCGGCAACTTGCATGGTGATGGATTTGCGCTCTGGCTCACCAAGGAGCGCGCCACGCAGGGCCCTGTGTTCGGTTCGACAGACAGATTCGAGGGTCTCGGTATCTTCTTCGACACCTACAAGAACAACCGTCCCGGCGTGTCGTTCCCCTACGTCATGGCCATGATGGGTGATGGACAGACCACTTACGATCAAGCGCATGATGGCAAGGCCAATGAGCTAGCTGGCTGCTCTGTGAGTTAGCATTGCTTCGCAGCTGTGTCGGATACGCCTCTAACTGTTCACAGGCTCGTGGTCTCCGCGGCGCCCCCGTTCCTACTAAAGCTCGCCTTACCTACTTCCAGGACAAGTCCCTGTCTCTGGAGCTGCAGTACAAGAGCGAAGACACATGGACCGAATGCTTCAATCTCTCCGCTGAGGATTCTAACATCGCCATCCCCTCCGTGGCATACTTGGGTCTCTCAGCCGAGACCGGCGAGCTTAGCGACAACCACGATATTATCTCTCTCAAGGCTGAGAACTTATACTCTCTTAACCGCAGCAATGCCAACAAAGGCAAAACTACGGAAGACCGGTCCAAGGGGCGTGAGCGCTCATCCTCCAAGCCGATCAAGGAGCCCAAGGAGAAGAGTAGCTGGACTTGGTTCCTCTTCAAGATCGTACTTTTCTTCGCCGTTATTGTCGGTGGTTACTTCGGCTGGACGGTCTACCGGACCAAGGCCCGGTCATCGCGATTCTAAATTTACGTTGTATGGACATTTGGCAAAGCACAGGTCTTTTCACCTTTCTTCTGTGTGATTCAAGTTGGTCTCTGGGTCTCCCAGTCTCTATCTGATGAAAGGGATCTTGCATACATAGCACCTTTGAAGCTTTTTTTTTCCCTCTGATCTACGTTCACCTCCCACATCAGCTTTTGTTATCTTTTCTCTTCGGTTTTGAAATGAATTAAAGTCATGATCATCCAAAATATTTCATTATGCAGCATGATGCTCGGGGTATCAATTGTAGAACAAATAGCAAATCAAGACGCCGCCCAATGTAGACTTCTACCTCGTCACTTCTGTCGTTCTCTCTCCTCGTTCCACATCCGATCCACAATCTGAAAGACTTCTGTCACACTGCGCATCACAACATCGTCAATTCCTAACGCGCCATACCGATGCTGGATTTTATCTGGATGCCAGCGAATACGCTCGGCCTTCAGCGTACCGAGTAGTTCCGCCGGCGCTGGGGCATGGCGCATGAATTCTTCAACCGCCTGGGGCTGAATGTCAGCCCTCTTCCCAGAGCGAACAGGCCAGAATAGCAGATTGCGCAGTGGTTTGGGGGCAGATCCCTCCGCAGCCTTCCCGATCGTCTCCCAACTCTCCAAATACGCAGCCCAGGGCGCACTCCACCCAACTTTGGCTCTTTTGCGCTCCGCCCCTCGTCGCAGACTGTCATCCATAGCGCGTTCAAATTCCTCCCTCCCATACTGCGCATTTCTCTGCGCCTCCTCCTTCCTTTTCTGCTGTCGCTCAGCCCGTAGACGCTCCTGCTCGGCTAGCATGCCCTCCCGCGTCCGTTCCCACATCCTTTGACGCACATAATCCACGTATTCCTCCTCTGTCATCTGCTCAAGTTCGCCTTCCGGACCCCGGTGAACCTCTGGTACACGGTAATTGTGGATGGGCTGCCCGTAGACGGATTCCCAGTACGCAGCTCCTTCGTCGTCGCCGAGGGCATCGAAGAGAGATTCTCGAAAGGTGTCTCTAGTGGAGCTGAAATAGTTGTCATGTGCGGGGTCCGGTTCCTGCTCTTCGCGATGTCGCCGCTTGGAAGGTTCACTGTCGCGCGTGCGTGATCGGTGGCGGTGAGTACGCTTGCGATGGGGGCGACTGCCATCTTTGAACCGGAATGCGCGGCTGCGACTTGAGTGGCTATGCTCTTTATGAGAGGTTCTGTGTGGGTGGGATTCTGTGGGCTCGGCGGATTCGTTGGTTCGAGATTGCTCTGAGGGGTGGGATGCCCCGGGCGACTCGGCTGGTGTTGGTTTTGAGGTCATTGTGGAGGGAAACCAGACATTCAATCAGCTCCAATTAGCAGATCTCATTGTGTGAAGTTGTTGGTGGTCAAATTGGTCGGAGTGAGATAAAGTATCAGAGTATCAAAAAGACAACCTTGGAAATGATCCCGGAAGCTAATCGAGAACGCGTGGAGATAAGGTATCTTAGTCATCTTATCTATGTGGGTCCGGTGTTCTGCCAGATTTATATGAATGCGGTGGGGAAAGCACATACAACGTAGTCTTCAACAGGAATCATACCTCTCTCGATCTTTGAATTGGACCACTTTTACTTCTTTTTCCCGAACGCAATCTTTTCTCCGTTAGAGGAGTATTTATTTGGGCTACGACCAAATTGTAGACGAAAGTGCGACTCGCGCCCCCTCATGGCAGCAAACTGCAATAGCGAGGAGCCCCATAATCCTAGCGCACCAAAAGTATCGAAGATTATCCAGGGGCTGATTCACTTGGCATAACCGCCGTAAGAGCTTATTAGTATGGTGGTGTTTTGATCGAACGGGGTCTTCGGCCGAGCGAGTACAAGACTATCATTCGAGGCACGAAGCATATGCCTTAGGGAAAGAACTCCAAAACGAGGCTGCAGCCTCAGGGTTTCGACGAGTTAGCAATCTACTTGCTCCGACTTTATACGGTGCTTTCGAAGTCAATGACTCGTTTATGATCACAGAGCACGTTGACGACGCTCCAGTGTCAGATTTATCGAACCAAAGCAGAATCCGGGGAAGTGGGTCTATATAACTTGGTAGGATGTTGACTCTCATTCCATGTCAATTTTATGCTGACGCAATGTGATGCTGATTATACAATGTCTTTAGAATACAATGTCTTCTTGGGGAATAAAAAAAAAGGTACCCCCGTTTGTGTTAAGACTGCGGAGTAGGCCGCCTGTCTTGACCTGTTGGAGGGGGCTATAACAGTGTGTTGTAGCGTTGCGGCAAATCCCTCTATGTGTTTGGTAGGATTTGCGACAACGCCCTGGCTCGAACACACAAGCTCACACCTCACAACCAGCCGGTACTTGTTGAAAGTGACTACAAGCCTATACCGCTGAGCCAACGGGGCTTGGGGGTATTAGACCAGGCTTTTTCCTTCATTTTAACAGAGCTTTTTTTCTGTTTCTAGTGATCTGATTGGCTAGATCCTGTTCAGCCGAATGCGGTAATCATGAAGCTATTCAGAGCCCCAAGATCCACTTATCACAGATACCTTTCGAAGCTATCACCTATCTCGTCACCGTTGAAGCTATTCCAAGGTTTCTCGCTACATAATACATAATTGCCTTGCGTCTACCACTGTGATTGCTTGTGGCTTGGTGAGCTTATTCACACCTGCCTTTCTAAGGTAATTCCTGCCACAATCCTTGCGGCTCATGGTTGATGGTATTCCCACCTTCCTCCACACTGTCTTCATCATCTTTGAATTTTTTTTTCTTCCAACGGAGAGATAGTGTCATTCCTAGAAATCACCAGGATATCTCTAAGGATCTCAAGCCATAGAGGAAATGAGTCAGAATCAGGTCTGTCAACCTCCACACATATATTGGAGACTGAAAGAAACCGTAAAGATATTACACCAACACGCTACAATGCACCATTTCCACTATCAACATCACCTTCCTAAAAGACATAGCATGGCCCTTGAATCATATGCTGAATCTCATGGTATGGTACAATCTCGATACAACCGGGGAGAAATCAGTAATGGACGTGGATGTTTTATATCTCGTCCTTTACTCTATTCGACAAAGACACAGCCAATTCAACTCGCGTTGTTCTTACTGGTGTCATCTCATACTACTAGTCGACCGAATGAATGCCGTTTGACTCGACTTGGATTTGCAGCTGATTGCTTCACATCATTTTGGCCAACAATTCTTTCTACTCTTCCTCTGAGATCACATACTGGACTTACCTGCTCAAGTGACGCTGATCTGTCGCTGCTCTCTACTAAAAACATGCGGTATTGGTCGGCATCACTCGATTTTACAGTGGGCTGCAGTGGGCTATGGGCTTAAACTAGGATCTTATACTATATCATAACCCTTCTACCAATTGGATAGACTTTGAATCTCGAATCTAGAATCCTAATTACTATACATGTGTGCATTCTGAATTCGAACGAAATTCGAAAAATTCAATTGGTGCAGTTCGAAAAAAGGCCAATTGATACATTAATGTCAGATATATATCGTCAATCCTCATAAGAGTACCACCTCCAAGTAAATCTCTATAATTTATAACTACGCTGAATAGCACGTTTTCTCGCGTTCTTGAACGTGATCTAAATATTTCTGTCTTGAATTACTATAAATAGATCAAAATGACCAAATATTGACCCTGAAGAAAGGCGAGAAACGGGGTCTATACGTATAGTAATTAAAAAGACGTTTGGGGAACATTTAGATTGTTTGGCACTTTTTAGGCCCTAATGGGCCCCCCCCATCAAGGGCCCATGGCCCACCGGTGGGCCCTTACCCGAGCCCAAAGCCTGGCCCATTTGCGGATCGATTAGGTTGGGTTGTGGGCTTGGCGGGCACATACATGTTGGCCCTCTATGGTAATAAACTTGCCCTAAGACACATATTACAATACAAGGATCAACAGCCTCTGCACGTAGTTCAATAATCCGGTTCATTTGACTTGAGATGATACAACGGGACGACTAAAGGTGGATGTACGCCATCCCAAACTCCAAACCCCATACCCCCCAGAACGCACGTCCATGTACAAAAAAGCAGACAATCAAATGCGGTAATGTGCCATGTTCTTCTTGATCTCGTCCACAATCTCCACAGCTTCATTGGTACTCCTTGCCTCAAAGTCATACCGCTTCTGCTCGGTGGCATCATTGCCACGCACGATCATCACCCGGAAGCTCTTGGGATGTCGTCGGCTGACCTTGGATCCGATCACGTCGCTGAAACTGATTGAACGGGTCTTACCACCAGACGCCGTTTTCCCCGTGTCACCGGGCACGATGTGCATATAATCATTTTCAAACGTGAGGATTCGATGGTTGGATGCTGTGAAAGACATGGGTTGTTTGCGGAAGACGTGGTATCGGCGGTAGTATCCGCCTAGGTGGTCTTGTTTCTGCGAAGATGAGGGCAACATGCGCTGGGCGCCCTTCTTGGCCTCCTTCTTGCTCTTTTTTGAGGTTGTCGGGTCTGCAGTTTCTACCATCAAAGGCGCGTTTGGTGATGAGCTGCCTGGTGAGGTTCCCAGTGCGAGGGGACCTCCGCCGAAGCGACGACGCACCAGATCAAGGTCTGTGATGCTGCCCAATGCTTCCACTGTGCGGTCAAGTGGTGCAATCGTGTTTGATCCCATTACCTTCAAAAGGTAGTTGCCCTTATCCTGGCCCCAGCGTTTACATACAGAGTCCAGAATCTCGGCTATATAGCTGTCGGTAGATGTGTTGATGGTCATGACATGGGCAGAAGCCTCCATGTTGATGAACCGAATTTTCAATGTCTTCGAAACACCAAGACGGGGAGTGGCATGCGAGACTGGTACCGCGGGGCGGTCGGCAGGGGTAAGAGTGCTGTGGTTGAGCGCAGACGAGAATGGCTGGCCTAGGATGGGGTTTGCTCGGGCCGGTGTAGTTTGAGGGGTGCTTTTCTGTGTAGCGGGTTGAGTCCCTGGTGCTGCAAGATTCGCAGGCTGATCTGGTTCTTCCGATCCAACGCTTGAACTGAATTGTGGATACAGCCGTTCATTCTCCTCAAACTCTGAATCCGAGGCTTCAACCAGGGCAAATTCATCGTACGGCTTGCCCCTTGACCGTCCTCGGGACTTGGCAGATTGGTTGTTGTTTGAGGTGAAATCAGTCATTGGAAGTGTCCGCCCAAGAGCTGGGAAGTCGTATTCGACTTCGCCATCGTCAACCATCCGTAGTGTCCATCGGTTCACGGTCAGCTTTGCACGATCAATTGGTGGGCCCCGAGCGTCTGCCGAGTATTTCCACAAGGCAAGACCAATCGTTTCAGCAACAGTCACCTGTGCGGGTTGTTCTGCAAGCTTAGACTCGCGGGTAAGTGGCAGATCCAGCGGCTCTTCGGGGTCGCTTGAAAAGGGAACATAGATCTTCAGATACAACGGGTCCTCTTGACCTCGCCCGGAGAGTACCACGAATTTATCCACTGGATTGCTTGGTGCTCGCTTGCGGGAGGTAAGCTGGCTGGTTAATAAGCTGACTGGCTGGATCATGCTGATAGGTCGCGGCGGGGGAAGATCTTGCAGTGCAGGAGCTGGAGTGCGATGCTTGCGGGGTGAGGTATTCTGTGGTCCTGTGCCAGAAGGTAACTTGTTCATCATAGCCATAGGCGATGACAAATTCAGACCGCCCGCCACGCCTGCCAGCAGCAATGAGCCAGATCCAGCTGTGTTGTCAAAGTCCGATGAAATTGCAGACCCAACAGACTCGGCACCGGAATCCTCGTCCTCGTCCACCTCGTGAAGTTCTCCCAGGGCCAAGCTCTCCGCGCCTCGACTGCCAGTTCGCTCACGCCGTCTGCGCGGATACTCAACGACCTGTTCACTCATGGAGAACTGAACCTGTCCTGGTTTGTAACCTCTATTGTCGGTTTCGTTATCCGTCGACAGATCACTGCTAGTGGTTGTATCTCGACGGGGCCGGGGTTTTAGTTGGCGATATTGACTTGCAAGATTTTGTGTTGACGCAGATGTGACCATCACTTCTGGCTGTTCCCTCTGGTCTCCAGAACGTATTGGAGAGGAACCTGCTCGATCTCGGCGAATGGGCATCTTGTCGAATTTAATCTGATCAACAGCACTATTCTTTGTTAGATAGGGAAGTCGAATGTCACACAAGAATTCGCTAACCTGCCGACGTTGTCCCCATCGTCCTCGCTGTCATCACTCAAATCGCTGCTATCGTCGTCCTCCGCTTCCACTTGTCTCTGAACCTCTTGTTGTCTTTCCCGTCGAGTCTTCTTCTTCCCGGCGCGTGCATGGTTC